TAAACTATTATTTATCTTTATTATTAATTTAATAAATCTTTGTTAATAAATTCTCTTATATTTTTATAAATTAATTGACATAAATATTTTGGCAGACTTGTATATATATGATTATATAAGAAGAACAGTTCTTGCAGTGTTAATTGCCATTGAGTTGCTAAGTAACAATATATTGTAATTGGCATAGAAAAAATAACACACTTTACTATCTGTGTTTAAAGCTGATTGAATAATATTCTAATTATTTATAAAAATTAATAAAGGATTTATTTATCAAAGGGATTCTTAAAAAGTTCCAATCCTTGGACACAAAGTCTTTTAATAAATTATTATATGCCAAATCTTATATTTCCTTCTCAAACCCTTCTTATATTACTAAATTTGATTTCAATAATCATATTATAATATTTGATAATAATTATATTATAATAATATAATAATATAAAATAATAATCTAAAAATAGTATTATCAATACTTATAATAATGTATATTGGTTTTAATATTTATTTTTCTTTATTACTTAGATAATTTTGATAGATAAGTAAGTATTAGACTTATTAATTAATTGATTATATAAGATATAATATTATTTTTTTTTTATATTATTACTATCTTGAGAGAGCAAAATGAAAATTGTATCAATTTAGACTTACAGTAAACAGGATGTTCCTATAAAATAAAAAAAAATAAAAATAGAATAAAGAAGAATAAAAAAAATAATCAAAGAAATATTAAAAAAAATCAAAAGAAATGAAATTTACAATTAAATATATTGAAACTTTTAGTTTTTCTTTTAACAAATTTTAAAATTACTGATAAAAATAAATTTCAATTCTTAATAATTTAATTTATTCAATATATGTTTTGTTTCAAATACTATTAAACAAATTAATATAAACAATTTAAAATTATTGTTTTAGTTAATTTTACAACTCTGCTCTAATATTGAAATCTAAAGATAATAATATATAAAAATTAAATTTCAATAGAAAAACAATAGAAAAATATAAAAGAAAAATATGAAATAAACATAATTTTAAAAGAAATTAAATAAAATACAAGAATTCAGAATTTTATAATTATAATAATTGTCTTTTTTTTCATAGTCAAGGGAAATTGCAACTTTTTTATAATGTTTTAATCAATTGTAGATCACTTTTAATCTAATTATTTATATGTGGTTTATCTATTTATACAAAAGATTTGGCTAGAGAATTATTTGCTACATTTAAGATAATTATTAAAAAAAATTCTTATCCATAAGAGAAAAAACAAAATTACTTAAAATATTATACTTCTAATAACAAAAGTTGTTCCTTTAATCTTTTTGTAAATAGTTGCTTAGAATCTCAAAGAAGTATCACAACTTGATTTTTGAGTTATGACATTTCAAATTTATTGTACCATTCAAAACTATATAAATATTTTGAGAATTCTTAAAGAAAAAAAGAAAATATTATATAGAAAATATGACTTAAACTATAGACTCTTCATGTAATGATTATAGTTCGCATGTAATGCATTTTGCCTCTAAAAAAAAAAAAATATGACTTAAACTAATAAAAAATAATAAATGTTAATAATATATACTAGTATCTATCTGTTAGAATAGATAATAGCTTTTTTTTTCTTTTCTCTTTGTCAAAAAATTTCTTTTTTATTCCTTTTTTCCCTTGCATAGTTCTTACAAGAGAGGGTGACACAATTTGGATTTATGGTCGTGACTGTGGAGGTGATCTGCAGGTGCTGATCCTATTGGAAATTTGGGATCTTAATCCCATCCTTTAGGGGAACAATATATCACTCCCATAAATCGCATCTAGAGGCTTCGGCTAAAGACGGGTGAGTTGGGTCAGGAAAATTTGTACTTTGCATGTATTCTTATGCGTGCGATGGTTCTTTATGATTTAATAAATAAACGATACCAACCTGATTGCGGAATTAAAAAAAAAAAAAAAAAAAAAATGAAATACAAATACATATATAGTATTAAATACTATTTTTAATTTAATTCAATTAACTTTACTTGACTATTGTATTATTAATTTGCAGATCTTAATTATATAATTGTTTCTATAATAAATTAAAATATAAAACCATTAATTTTAATAATTTAAATATTAACTTGTTTAATATTTTTTTATTTGTATTACTTAAACTTTATTTATCTTTGATTAAAATTTTTTAAAAATCATTTTTATTAAAACTTTTATTTTAATTCTTGTCTTTTTATTATTTTTGTTTATTCTTTGCAACTATTTTAGAAATTTTTATTGTTTTAATTACTTTATTTTTTTAAAAAAATTGAATTCTTTAATACCTTAATAAATTTGATATATTTTTAAATTCTAAAATAATATATTTAGCTTTAAGTTTTAACTAAAAATAGATTCTAAAATAGTTTAGTATATAAAATTTTACAAATTAATTATATCTTTTTTGAAAAAAATATAACTATTTACTTTAATAAAAACAAAACTTTAAAACATTTAAATTAAATAATTTAAATTATAAATTTTTAAAAAAAAACTTTTTTAATAGTAAAAGATATTTGAATTATGTTTTTATTTTTAGTTTAGAAATTTATCTTTAGTTCTAATACAGGTTCAAATACAGATTTGAATTAAAAAAATACAGCTTTTATAGCTTTTACAACTACTACTGATTCCAATGTTAATTTATATTTTACAAAACTTAGATTACAATTTTAGTTAATCAATTTTCTTTCTTAGATACTTAATATACTGCTTTTGTTAATTTTATTATTCAAAAATATTCTATTTATATATTTAATTATAATCAATTGCTTCTTCAATTAACAAAAAGCAAAATGGACTTTGTATTATAACCTTGAAAAAAATTTGTATTATAAAAAAGAAGGTTTCTTAACAAGGTTTTTTTTTCGGACCGAGACCTTCCATAACTATTAGTAATAATAATTGTGACGATTCAAATCACGTGTTTAATAGAACAATTATCACTAAAACCACAACTTTTGGCGCTTGCATTAATTAAACCCCACTTTGCTTTTTTTTTTTTTTCTTTTTTTTTTGAGTATTTTACTTAAAATTTTGCTTGCAAAACTTCTCATTTCCACAAATATAAAGAAAGACCCAAGCGAAACCTATAGTTTTAGACAAGGATTACTAAAGTTTAGCGATGGCTTCGTCCAGAAACTTGTTGTCTTCGAGTGACCCTAACTCTTATGGCGGTGACGACGCTTTTGATACTTACATTGATATGGATTTCTTGAGAAATGACAATATGGAGGAGGACATTGATATTGGAAACATGTCTACCTCGGATCTTTTTCGTTATTACTTGGAAGGCGAGCTAGCCAAGGACGCAACGAACCTTGACTCCGAGACCTATACAACGTCTATGCAGAATGTAGAAGACTTTTCTCTAGTAACAAGTCCTGCTTCTGTTTCTGAAGAGCCTAAACCGAACAATATAGACGTGGTTGAAGAAACCAATGTTCTTTCCCAATCCACTAATGTTTCGACTGCGGTTGGTCCATCCTTGGCAATGCTAAATGCGCAGCTGGCAGAATTATTGGCAAAACTTCCCATTATCAAAAGAGAAACAATCGCAGACAACAAAGTTACTATGTTGTCTGGCTCTTCAACACCGGAAAATTCAACATTTCCTACTTTGAATACTGCATCAAAGCCATCAACCGCTCCAAATAATAGTACAGAGGGCGACCAGAAACATATTGATGATAACTCTCAAATTGATTTGAAAAAGTTGTCATCTAAGGAGCGGCGGCAACTGCGTAATAAAATTTCGGCAAGGAATTTTCGTGTTCGCAGAAAAGGTTTGTTCGTTTTGTTTTAATCAAAATACAAATTATTATTTCATAATTCTCAATTTGAAATGGTAATTTTTGCAAATAGAGTACATTCAAAGCCTAGAATCCACGAAAGAGCAACAGCAGGAGGAAATAAATTTGCTCAGACAAGCATTGTTGCATTTGCAAGAAGAAAACAATAAGTTACAACAAGAAGTGGAAGAATTGCGTAAACTGAAGCAGCAAAATAGTAAAGCTTTTGTTAACCCACCTCCATCTCCACCTCACAATTCCTCTTTAACGACAAAGGATATTAACGGCCATGCGTTTTCCAAAAACGGAAATGCCCAACGGTCAAATTCAGTTAAAGCACCTCAAAATCACCAGCCATCTTCCCCCGATTCTCGTTATTTAATTCCTAACCTAAATAAAGACACTTCACCTTCTTCTTCTTCTGCAGGAAAAAAAGCATGGCAAGATTCTCGTGTTAGAGTACAGACAACATTTATTCCTGAATTTAATCTTGACAAACATCTATTTGAGGGAAAATCCGACCTTCCTTACTATAGTTTATGGAATAATATTACTAATGAGCAGCCTGTTAGATGGGATCTCTTCGATATTGGATCAAATAAGACTAGTCAAAAAGCTTTATTTGCGTGTATGTTGCTTTCCACTATAATGCAACGAATTACTGCTTTGTTTATCGAAGCAGTTTGTGCCACACCACATCACTTGATGATTCCAGCTTTGTTCCCAAAGGCTGTTTCTACGCCCCAAATTTCAATTGAAAGTTTTCAATCTCAGGAGATTGCCGAAAAGAAAGAAAGCGAATCAGATGAAATCCATAATCGATCACCTGACTCCTTATCAGCGAGCAATAAAGATTATTCTCCTCGTACAGTTGATGTCGAAGAGCCTTTATTAGATAACACCAGCATGGTAGAATCCATAAAAGATGCGTCTGTTCTGGATTGGCTTTATGATTCCATGGTAAAACATGTTGTTGAACAAAGTCAAATGGAAGCTAGGATGATGGAACTAAGTGATTGGGTCGGCGAAGAATTGGATGATAATGTTTTACCATATTTATTTTAGTTGATGTTTATCTTTTGCATCTTGTAAATATGTATATTTGCTTTAAGATTTTCGCTTGGGTTTTTTTTATAGTTCAATGAAGTACCAAGCATAAGGCTTTATTTGTTTTACACAGATAAAACATCATTTATGAATATTTTTTCTCTTTTTTTTTATGATATCACACGATGTATGGACAATATCAACAATATTAGCATAAAATAATTACTTTTTCTCGAATCATCAACATATGATCCTTTTAACCTTCGGATATCAAATAGTATCAAATTTTCCTTGACATTATGGGTTCGGTTGTACTTAACCTCCGGAAAGTTTTTTGTACTAGATATCTTATTCAATTGTTTTGATCGATTTTAAGGTATATAAAAAAATGATAAATAAAAAAATATTTAGAAATTTATATTCGAATCTTGATAAAAGTTTATATATATTTACTTAATGAGAACACGTACAAACTGGTGTACAAAATTAAGCCGATTTTTACAACTATACACCAACGTGTTGTATATTCTTTTTTTTTTACTTTTTTAATTCAAATTCATTGGTGCATTGTCTTTTCTCTTTCTGTAATTAAATTATTATAATTCCATTTATACAAGATGAAACTAAATGAAATAATATTAAATAATATTCATTTATAAATTCAAATCATGATTGTTTTCGTTTATTATAAGGTTTATTTTTTATAATATTAAATAAACTTTTCAATAATAATTTATGTTAATAGAGGATTTATTAATTCAAATAACATATTGTTGATTTTTTACTAAGTTTTTGCTTAATCTAATTATATAAAAAATTTATAATTTATATACTGCATATAGCAACATAAAAACAAATATTATTTTTTTGTTAAAATGTAATAAAAAATAGAAATAAATAAAAAATTGATATTTTTGATATTGAATTAGTTTTGATTTTTTGTAAAATCAATTATTTAAAGTATTATATTTAATTACAAGCAGTTTTTGGCTATTATTTAAAATAATTTTTAATGCAAATATTAAATTTAAAAAAATTTTTTTTTGTAATTAAACAAATATATATTATTTATTAAATTTTTATAGAAAATAAATGATATGTGATATATTATATTATATAAACTATTTTATTCTAAATACTTATCTTAAACTAATATTTTTAAGTAAAACTTTGAAGCTAATAATTTATAAGTTATTGTTTACAATTTATTATTATAGTTATTTAAAAAAATTCAAATTATTTTTTATAATTTTGATTACTTTTTTTAAAAATTCACTTTCAAATTAACAATTTGTTTATACTTGAACATTTAAATTTTCTATATTGTTATTTTAAAAATTTATAAAATTTGTATTTTTATTTTTTTATTTTTTATTTTTTGACTTTATTTTCTTATATTTTAATAATAAAAATAATATATTTTTATATTTTTGATTTTTTTTTATTTCTTATAATTTGAAATATTATATATATATATATTTTAATTTGTTTACAAATAAATTTAAATAGCAAAAAAAAAAAACTCTTTCTTACTCCCTCTTCTATACTTGAAAATTTTCTTTTTAGGAAATTTTTGAATTGTTTACTTTTCTTTTTGTTTTTTCTTTTTCTCTTTCCTTATTTTTCCTTTCCATATCTCTTTATTTTTCTTCTTTTATTTTTTTCTTTTTCTTCTATACATCTTTTTTTTATTCCTTATATTCATCTTTTCTTCTTTTTTTTCTTGTTGAAGCTAGGTTTTCCCTTTTTCCTGAAAGGTTTTCTCTTTAGGTCTCTTTTTCTTTTATAAACTCTATCTCTATAACATTATTCCTCTGATTAATCAACTCCTTTCTCTTAAGAATTATATTAAGAAGCTATAACCTTTTTTAGTATATAGACTTTAGAAAATTTCTCTCTTTTATGGTCCCTTAGAAAAAGAACAGATGGTTTATTCCTTTCAAAAGATTAATATAATTATCATTATTAAACTTGATATTATTTACTAATCAATGGTTGAACTAGATATGCCCAAGAAATCTTAGTACAACTATTATTACCTGAAAGTATTTAAGGAGTTGTATCCTACAGTATTCAGAGTGAAATAGCAGCCAATACCAATACAACTAACAATAAGCTAGATTAGTTACAAGTATCATACTGAGAATTGAAAATTTAGTAAGGTAATATGTGATAACCAGTGATTCTAGTTATTCTTAAAAATAAGCTGGTAATAGCAACAAAAGTTTTTTGTTTATCTCTTAAACAATATAAATCTATTGTATAAGATTAGGTTCTGATATTATTAAGAAAACCAATATGAACTTCATTTATAAGATACTTCTGTCACACTTGAAATATAAGTATGTCAAATTTTTTTTATAACTTGAAGACAAACTTGTATAAAGTAGCTGCAGTACCTTCATGCAAAAAGATATTCACTTTTTATCATTTCCAACACTACTTCACTTGCTATACATCATATGATATTTGAAAAGCAAGTGTATCAATTCTAATTATAACTTGAAGGCCAATCTGTATAAATTGGCTATAGAACCTTTATACGATTAAGTATTCATTTACTTTTAGATAGCTAGATACTATTCAAAACAATAATATAGATTTTTGTATTTTTTTTTTTTGTATTTCTTGAATAGTGTCAAAAAAGTACAAAAGTTGGACCTCTTTTGAAAGTCTTGCATTAAACTCTTTCTAGTAAAGAGATATATATATCATATTATTAATATTGTACTTTGTTTCACAAGTAAAAATATAATAAATATAATAATGTATAATAGCCATTTGCTCTTTTCAAAAAAAAAAAAATGAATTTAAATAGTTTATTTAATAAATATTTGATTTTATTATTTTTAACTTTTGATTTTATTATTATTAATATGTATTTATTTATAATAGTTTTTTTTTAAAAAAGTTTTAAATAAATATTTAAAAATAATACTTTTTTAAAAAAAATTTAATTTTATATTATTATTATTTAATTTTATTTTTTAAAGTAAAAGTATAAATCTTTATAAGGGTTTTTATTTTTATATCAAATTACATATAACTTAAGGACTCATATAAGTTAGTGTATTATATACTCTATATATATTATTCTTATACTTTATCTTAGGGCTCTTAATGATATCACTTCAATACCACTTCAATACCAATTCGATACTTAAATTTACTATAAAAACATATAAGTAGGTCACAACACATATATTAAATTTATTATAGATCAGTACTATTTCGATATCAATTCGATACCAGTTTAATACTTTTCGAAGTCCTACTTCATCTTATATTTAGTACTTAGAAATTTATTGTCTTGAACAATTTTTTATATAATAATTAAAGGAAAATCTATAAAGTATAGAAATCTTATCACTAGTTTAAACTATTTAACCTATATGGTTCAGCTTTATTTAAAGCTATCTTGATTAAAGAGATTAGTTCAAATACTTTTTTATCTTATTATCTAAATCTTAAATTATATTTTTATAATCTAAATCATTTTTTGAAAAGATATGATTTTTTTTATTATCTATAACTAATTGTTTTTCAAACTAATTAAGCTCTATATCCAATTGAAATAGCCTAGACTATATATGTGTTTGTATTTAATTTAGACATTTTTTAAAAACCATATTATGTTCATATTACTAAATAACAATTAATAAGTACAGTGGGATACCATATTATTGTGGACAATTTTTTTTCTTTAATTATTCAAAAATAAATAAATAAATATAATATAAAAATTTTACCATATATTTAATAGATATTAAAATATAATGTATTAAAATTTCATCCAATTTTATTTTGTATTACAAAAGTTATATGAAAATAATGTCAAGCTACTTTTTTAGATTAAATATAAAATAGATTTGAACTTTTTTCTTTCTTTTTTTTCTTTTAATTTTTTTTTTTGAAATCATATCACAAAATTTTTCTTGATGTTCTGGAATACCTGAACAACATTTGTAACACTTGTAACACTTGGGCAATACCACGTTGTCCTAAAAAAGGTTGGATTGATACAATTAGATTAATTATCGAACATCGTCTCAAACAATAGGCAGTAAGAAGGACCTAACTGAGAGACAGAAAGGCTCAATAATTTACAGTCACCTGAGAAAGGATTCGGTCTGTGCCATTGCAGCCACTGTCGGTTGTGGTAAGTCTGCTGCATGAAACATTATAAGAAAGTTTCGTGAGACAGGTACCTTAAAAAAAAAAAATGTCCTGGGCATCCTAGGATCCTTACCTCTTCTAATCGTGCCGGCCTTAAGAGTTTGGTCGTTATTGGAAATCGCTGCTTCAACCTAACCCAAATTACTAACCTTTTTAACCTTCAGGAAAGAAAAAAAAAAAAGTTTCGAAATCTATCATTTGTCAAGCATTGCATGAAGAAAACTTAAGATCTTGCCTTGCTCACCCCAAACCGTTCGTCTCCCCCCAAAATGCAAAAAAAAGGCTTGATTGATGCCTTGCCCACAAAGATTGGACTATCCAAAACTTTCGTCATATATTATGATCTGACGAAACTACTGTTCGCCTTTTTCAGAGTTTCTCTGATAGAGTTTGGCGTAAACCACATGAAAAATAGGATATTGAGTGTTTGAATGGTACTGTCAAGCAATCTCATGGTCGCATGTATTGGAGCTGCTTCTCATGGTTTGGGGTTGGGCCTCTCGTTTCATTGAAGTCTGCTGCCACGGGCACTTCACATACCGAAATTTTTCGAAAGTATGTCTTGCCGGTCCTACAGAATTTTCCAGAAATTATGGCTCATGGGCGCCTACTTTTTCAGCAGGATAATGCAAGGCCACATACCACCACTATAGCCATGGAATTTATTAATAAAAACAGAATTCGCAAAATTGATTGGCCCCCCCAAAGTCCAGACCTTAATCCGATAGAGAACCTTTGGTCCAAAGTAAAAAAATCCATATGCCAGAAGCAAAAACCAACTAACCTCTGTGATCTTGACATTCTTGTTAAAAGAGCATGGTATGACATACCACCTGAGTATT